CAGCACTCAGCCGTAAGAGCAGCGGCACTGGGGAGGGCAGTGCTCCCCAACGTGGAGCCCCTGATCCCGGTGCTGCTGTCGGCGCCGTGGGGAGATCCTGCCTCCGATCTGCAGGTGGGATGCGCGCCCACAAGCGATGCTTTACCACCACTGCTGAAACCAGGGTGGAAGAACCAGGAGACAAGTGAACCACACGCACCACAGGGCTTTCCCCCGGGCCAGGGCGCCTCACTCCGAACCCCAACAGCCGCATCCTCGCTGCATCCAGCCCAAGGCCAATTATCCACATGCTAACTGCTAATCTCTGTTTACAGCTTGCTGTAGGTGACTTCCCTTTGCTTTTCCTTCTCAAGCCTCAGCCCCAGCCCTACCACGAGTCACCAACGGCCCCGCGAGGACCCAGCTGCCCTCCGCAGAGCGGGGAACCACCGCGGCACGCTCCAAAGCGGCACAGCCCCCCTGGGAGCGGAGCACACTGCCGGGGCGTCCCACAGCATCACAGCCTGTCTCTCTCTGGAGACCGGGCTGCACCGCCAGCACCTCCCTGCCCGGCTGCCCCGAAAGCTGCTGCAAAGGGAGGGGAGGATTGCACCAGCCAAAATCTGTCTGCTGAGCTTTCATTGCTTGTACTGTTGTTTCCATCCCTAGGAATTGTCGCCTTGCAGGGCAAAGTACACCCACACGGGGAATACTTTGCCAGCAAAGCAATTTATAGTCTCCTGGGCAGGTAAAGGTACGTGGAGCCGGGAAAGAGCTGCTGCCTCCTGCCCGCTGCCAGCTCTGCCCTGGCACTCGCTACCCACTGCCATGTCCCCAGGCACTGCTCACGCCAACGCGGAGATGCCACAAACCCTGCCTTACCCCACGGCTCAGATGCTGCCTCTCGGACACCCTTAAAGAGGAGCCAGGAAGCCCCTCCAGCCATCCCCCATCAAACCGGCCATCCCCTCTCCAACTCGCAGCCCCCAGATAACCTGGATGGGTTTGTCCAAAGCAGAGATGGCTGGTGCAGGGCGCTCAGCCCACAGCTCTCGAGGGCTGGGCAAAGGCATCAACGCTTTCCAGCCACCAGCACTGCTAGGGGAAGGTGTCCCTGTGGTCACGGAGGGACCTTCACTCACCGTCGCAGCGTGGGAGCGGAGGGCTTTGGGCTAGAAACACAGCCTTGGGTCTGGATCAACAACACCACTCACACCAGAGAGGCAGGAAGAGGTTCACGGTGATCACAACCCTTTATATTTCCTTGGTCTGACATACTAATGCCGTCCCAAGTACAAAGATAGGCAAGGAAGAAATGACTGCGGTATCTTACTGGTAGGCAGCCTGGGAGGGAAAAGCCTCTGATTAGGCAGGACTCCTCCTACTCAGCTGTGGCCCCGGGGTTCAGGCTGAGCTGAAACGAAACAGAATCTAATGCCTTGGAGAAATAAAATCAGTTTTCCTCTTGATTGCGTATCATAACTCTTCTAAATACAGCTCAAGGAGTTGGCTGCTATCAGTGCTGGGTGCAGCCGGGTCCGCCCCAGACGTACCATGGACGACCAGACTTTGAAGCTCACCAGCGCCGTGCACACCCTGCCCACACCAGGGATGCCCCCGGGTGGCCCGGCTTGGCTCAGCTTTGTAACTGCCGGGTGCTTTTCTAAATTAAAACCAGTACTTCGCAGGCAGGACGTTATGGCCAGCACGACAGTGGGTGCCTGGTGCTGAGTTTGCTGCTGGTATTGGAGATGGTATCGAGTGCCACAAGCAAAGCTCAGGCGTTTGGGGACAGCCCTGCCACCCCACCGCCCTCCCTGCACCATTTCAGGGTGCGGATTTCAGCACAGGCACAGCTACAGGGAGATTTTTTCCAGGATGATGCTGCATCCACCCATGTTCAAATCCCAGGCAAAGGGTGGAAGAGTAAAACAACACAAAGTGATCCGAGTGTCCCTGCACAAAAGCAGATGTGCAGAGACCATAAAAACCCAACTTTTTAAAAGGCACCTAAACTACCTCCAAAAAGACACCTCTGCTCACAGCATTTACTGTGACTCAGGGACGCACCGGTTGGACCGGTGAGCATCTGGGGGCTCTCCCACCCACCGGTGGGCACACAGGCAGGATGGACAGACATCCCTCTCCTGCTTCGCCCAGCTCATCCCAGCATCTTTTCAAACTCAAGAAGCCTTTCAAGGCAACTCTGCCTCCCCACACCCGCCGGTTTCAAAGCAAAATGCTCTCTTCACAACATTCCCCCCCTTCCTGATGGCCATGTCCATCTCCGCAGGGTTGGATTGAAAACAGAACTCATGATATACAGACATTGCCGAAAACCCCTGAAAATACCAAATTGCTGGAGCTACGGCACATCCTGCCATCAAGAAAGGGTGCGGGGACCTTCACCCAACCACAGAGGTATGGAGAAGAGCCCCATTGCAACCTCCTCCCCATCCTCCAGGAGCACCGCAGGGGCCGGGGGACACCGGAGCACCCAGCACTGCTCAGCTACTCACTACTCAGACATCGTGCCAGAGCAAAAATCCCCAGCCCCACACACCTCCCCACCTCCATCCCCAGGGAAGGGCCAGCCTGGCCACGCTGTCCCCCTCCCCAGGGCGAGGAATGAGTTAATATTGATTTTTACCAGGAGGAAGTAAGCGATAGCCAAAGCCAGCCAGCCTGGCAGAAGAGGCGGAATTAGCCAATATGGGGTTGATTTAACGGCTGTGACACACAGAACTAGAGGTTTTCGAACAACGACCCTGCGGCTAACAGAGGGACTCTGAGAAATGGGTTCTGACTCCAGGCAGACACACGGCATCCATCCGTCTGCTGCCACAGGAAAGAACCAAGCGTCCACTTCAAGCAGGGCTGCAGCGCAGCCACCCCCGGGGCTTCGTCTCTGGGCTCTTCCCCCAGAGCAGCGCACGCACATGAGGTCTCCGCTCCATCCTCTGCTCCCAATGGTGCCTCCCCGGAGCACCGGGACACGCCGGCACAGCCACAGCTCCTAATGGCCAGGGCAGCCCTGTCCCACAGCCGCGATGGAAGTCCTTCTGCGTGACTGCTGCTCTCATCCAGCCTGGTCTTGACCTGGCGTGCAGGGTGGCACCAACCTTTCCAGTTCCTGTAATTAAAAGCATCGTCTACAAAGTAAAGAAAATAAATCCTTCTATTGCATGAACATGTTTGGGATAAAGCTGCTCCCACTCACAGAGGCAGCACTGAAATCACTCAAACTCACATGTCCGGCAGGGTCCACGCCAGCGCCGGGAGGTTTCTCTTTCTCCCTCCAACAGGAGAATCGCTCTCTCCTAATGCAAAACTCTATTCTTGACTGCCTTTAACAAATCCTTAGGGTTTTTCCCTCAAGTTTCACTCTTCCCAGTGTTTTACCGGACCAGCACCTCCAAACACAGCACACCCAGACAAACAAAACACCCCCTTATCTCCCCTGTGGTTAATAAACCCCCAAACGTAGCGGTGCATCCCAACCCAGACACTCCTTAAACACACAGGATACCATCAGAGAGCATCACAACGTGCCCACCATCCTCGTGTGCAGACAGCAACATGCGTACAGTACACATACGTGTGCATTTATACTCAAATTAAAGCACAAAGTGTGTTCCTGCACCAACCCAGCCCCGCTTCGCAACCCCGGCTGTCACAACCAGACGCGGAAATACAATAAACCATCAGCGCTCTTTCAAAAAAAAAAAAAAAAATATTTATTAGCTCATTAAAGTGACCTGTCGCCGCTGCTGCTGCCAGATCGAGTTTGTAGGAACTCCAACACTTCAAGCACCCGACTCCTTCCGGCCGGAGACAGTGTGACCGTCGCTGCAGCCACACGGCGCGTGTCTGCCCTACAACAGGGCCAGGGAGACTCGCAGCGAGTTGAACGGTTGAAGGAGTACTGGGGGAGAGGTGTCAACCACCCCGTTACTGAACGGCTGCTCGAACCCGGCGGGGAGGGAACGGCAGCACCCAGCTCCCGTGGGGCGAGGCGCCCAGTGAGATGCTGGGGACCGGCCCGACCCTGTGCCAGCATCACACCTCGTTAATAACTGCAAGCTCCTGAGAGCGCTGCCGTTCAGCTCATCTCTCCGCACAGTCAACAGTACGTCTCTGCCTTACGGCGTGATGTTCCCAACCAAAGGGCTTTGCTTAAAAAAAATCCCAAAGAATGGATTTCTTTTTATTAATTTTTTTTTTTTTTTGAGAAAACTAGAAAGAGACCCTAAATCCTCAGAAGTTGCAGCTCTTCCCCACCTCTCTGGATTTCTCTCTCCCAGCTCCTTCCCCCAGCAGACCTGGACAACCCAGCTGCCGCAAGAGCCTTGGCTTGTTTCCACCACCCAAAGCCAGCATCACGCACAGAAGCCAACCTCCCGGGGCTTGTGCTCGCACTGCCATGCAGAGCCTCTCCCCAGTTTCAATGACCGCACACATCCCATGGACAACCCGCTCTCAGCATCCCCGCTCCCTCCCCAGAGCCCCCCGGGGACGGGGAGCAGGCGGCTCCCGACACCTCCCATCAGTTCACGCCAGACCCCTCGGCAGCCGGATCGGTGCCTGCTCAGCGCTTCGCCTGCTTGTCCTTTCGCTACCGCCTTCTCCCTGCCCTGCGCCCTGCTCCTGCCTGCTCCTCTAACGGATGCTGCTCCAGCTACGCCTGCAGACGAGGCAGGGCTGACGACCTAAAACGGAGTAACTATTCCAAGAGAACGGGGGAGGAAAGCTTAATAAAAAAAAAAAAAAAAAGAACACAAACTTTTTTTTTTTCTTCTCCTCCAAACAGGGCAGAGCATTTTTGCCTTTTGCATCTCTGGGCGTCTTTCTGCCCCCTCGTTCCCTCTGACCTGAACCTCCTCATTACCGAGGTGAGCTGCTCTGAGTCTCGTTAACCTGTGCCCCTCGTTACACCGCATCTCGTCCCCCAGCGCAGCCTGAGAAAAAGGCAGTTCCACCCAGAGCGGCACGGCCAGCGTCCCTCCAGGCAAGTCCCCCTTTCACTTCTGCTCTGCCTCGTCGGCCACTGCGGTCACCTCGATGGCAGCGGTGGCGTGCTCATCCCCGGTGGCCTCAGTGGCACCAGACGGGACAGTCACGACTGTGCTCCCACCGGGAGCCATTTGTGTCACGTTCTGGATGGTCGTGCCGAGTCCAGGCAGCGTCAGCAGCTGGAAGGGGCTCACCACCTTCACGACCGTGCTGCCGTCCTGGACCGCAGCCGTGCTCAGCACTGTCAGGTTGGAAGCGTCCGGGTGGATCTCCACCGTACCGGGGAAGGTGGAGCCGGCGGAAGCCAGTACCGTGTACCCTCCCAGCAGCGGGGAGGCCGGGGAGCTGGCGGGGGGAGGCTGGGATGTGTTTTTTCCCAGCACCGAGGGCGGGAGGGCTGAGACCACTTTGCCGAGAGGGAGGTTGGCAAGCTGGGAGACAGGCACGCCGGGGGTGACTGCAAGCTGCGCCGGCTGGGACAGGACTTGGGAGGTGATGGCAGCTGGTCCGGAGGTGGCCCTGGTCAGCCTGGGACGCTTTAAAGGCGTGGGGACGGAGACGGGCGTGAGGGTCATCAGGACGTTGTTGAGGTGCTGCGATTTGTGCTTCAGCTCCTTCGCTCGCTTGCGGTGTTCGTCACACTGCTGCTCCAGAGCTGGAGAGAGAAGAGGGTTGACTCAGCCCGGACCCCAGACAAGCTTCCCAAGGACCACAGCAATGCCTGGAGCGGCAGCAGCCAGTCCCACCACAGCTGGTTTAGCACACACCAGCTTTAATCCAAACCCCACTTTCTCACACAGAAAGAAAACGCGCTGGCTGTGATAGGAAGTGTCAGAGCACCAGTGTGTCCCAGGGCCATACCTGCCAAATCCCGTGTGTACTGCTCCCTCGAGCGATCCATCTGACACTTGTGGCTGGCCAGGACCTTCTTGACCAGATCCAGCATACCAAAGTTCTGAACTACGTTGTTGAGTAAAACAGCATCTTAAAAACAAGACACAGATCTTTGAGGAAGCAAAAATTCCCTACGCAAAGTATTTATAGCTTGCTAAAGAGCCATATGACAGCAAACTCGTTCAGCTGAGACGGCCAAAATCTTGAGGGGGGAAACGTAAGAGGATGGGAAGAGAAGACGACAGAAGTCATGAGAAAGTGCAAGAGGTCACTACCGTATAAACAGTCCTCTGCTGCTTATCAGGGGTGATAAGAAATCTTCTGGCACAGTAGCTGGTTGCTGCATCATTTGATGGCCTAAATTCCACCTCAGTTCCTGAGCCAAGCATTTGTCCAGACCCAGAGCCAGCAGATAGGAAGCCCCAGGAACAGTGAATTGGAGAACTGAGGCCACCTGATGCGTCCCTGAGCACAGCCCCAGGAGCCTGCTTGGGGAGCAGCCAGAAATGAGATTTACTTATGAGGAACTATGTCCCTATAGTGCCATCCAGATATCCCTAAGGAGAAAAAAATAATAATCCACAAGCCCCTCTGCTGAGCTGCCTCCAAGCGCCCGTGCCCAGGTTCTTACCACTGAGCTGCAGCGGGGGATCCTGCGCTCGCTGCTGCAAACCCTTCATGGTCTCCACCAGCTCCTGGTGGAACTCATGGATTACTTCTTCCAGGAGACCTGTGTCCTTCAGGCCTCGCCAGAAAGCAAAGGTGTCATCTGGAGAAAGAGAAAACAGGGGAGAACCTCAAAATCCTTGAAGGGGGTTTTAACAGTGATCTGCTCTGGGTTCCCCTTCTGGCCTCTACAAGGGTGAAGTCCTGCGAGGCTGCAGGGACAGCGTGCTGGGGCAAAGCCCAGCCAGAGCGCGTACTCGAAGGAAGGGCAGCTGAAAAAGAACAAGCTTTCCCCTTCCTCTGTCACACATAAACAGGACACCAATGTTACAGAAAAGCTCATTGCTCAGAGCAACCAGAGGAGCAAGAATGATTTTATGACCCCTCCGATTTATTTCACACACACCCCCCCGCACCCAGAGCCACAGCAAGCATTTGCCCTACACTTCAACATCTTAGTGCTTAGAAACAATTTCATTCCAAGGTGATGCTGCAGTCAGGCTGCACACAGGCAGGATATACCACAGCGCTACGTGTCGGTAAGCAGTAAATGAATAACCCCAGTGGAGGCTGCTCCGGCCAGAAGGGAGCTCCTCATCCCTGCTGTTTCCCTCCTTCTCTACATCTCCATCCGCTGCTGAGGATGCGCCAAGCCCAACGGGATCCCAAGCTGTACCTCCGATGCTGGTGCTCCAATCGCTGGCATCCTCACACGTTTCTATGGTAATTGTAGCCGGGGATCCGTTCACTGCAACCAATAGCAAAAAAAGAAAAGAAAAAAAAAAAAACCAAGTCCTGATTTTTCTCTGTATTTTTCACAGGCTGTTTCTGAGGGAAGCACTCCCTTGCTGCATTTCTGCAACTTCTCCTTTTTATTGCACAGGGCCACTTTTATTTGAACGGAGAGAGACACCCAAGCGGGCGGTGAAGCCGCACACGGTTGCTGTGCCAGCAGTGCTTATTTTTCCACATTGGAGTGCAATACCCCAGGGATGACTTCTGCAACCCTTGCACAAGAACACATGCCCAAGAGCAGCATTTCCCTCCTGTTCTCCCCCTGCATACACACTAGTACAGCTTAGGGTAAAAGTCAAACAGCTTTAGAGTCTGATTTTTTTGGTAATTTTTTTTTTTTTTTCCCAGCTCAGTTTGCAGGACTGGGATGTCTGAAGGGTTTCTAACACCTCGAAGGGGAGAGCATCCCCCCTGCTGCACGGGGATGAAGTCGGGCTCCCTCTCTCCAGCTCTGCTGAATCGCAGTGGTTTTGTTACCATAGAGCCAGGGAACCGGCATCATTCAAGCCGTGCGCAGGAGCGGGATGAACAGGAATCTGGCCAGAGACCTGTGGTGCCGCGCGGAGCGTTCGTAATGCTCAGCCGCTGCCATTAAATCCAATTACTCTGCAGCCTTCAGGGCTCTGGCTGTTCCAGCCCAGCCCAGCAGCGAGGGAAGTATTTCCCCATTAGCGAGCCGATGCCCAGGTTGAACGGGAGGGCTGGGGACAGGATGCCTGCATTGGCATCCCCACCACAACACCGGGCTGTGGTGCCGAAGGTGCCCTGCAGAGCCAGACAAGGGGCTCTCCCTGACCTTGCTCTGCTCCCACAGACAGCAAAATGAGTTAAAAAAAAAATTATATATATATATATAAGTATTTAGAAATTAGAAAGCTCTCCAATAAAACAGTTGCCCGTAATTATAGGTCAAATAAAGTTTAGGACTACAGCTGCCTAGCTGTAACATCATATAAACCCAGTTTTAGGAACTACATATATGAGTGCAGATAAAAAAAATAAAAATCTGTTGCATCCCCTAGTTCTCTAATCTTTCATCAGACAAACCCCATAATAATTCAGCTGGGGAGCCTTAAATGAAAACCCCTAAATTATTCTGGAAGAAGTCATGTTAGAGCTGGGAGGAGGAGGAGGGACTCCTCCCCTGGCACCCTGCGCAGCAGGAGAAGCCGGGCTGATCCCTTCCTCCCGGGACGAGCCCTGCGGACACAGCACCCAACTGGCAGCAAGGACAGAAGGGGACTTCATTGAGCAATGACTACTGTTTTCTTACTGATTAATTAGTCTTCTGCTTCAGCTACACAGTTTGGAGTAAGGCAGGAGGCCAGAAAGGCGGCTTTTTGGGTCATGCATGTTACAGAGCAACTAAGTGAGTTATTGCATCTCTGCCGAGATGCTCTAACAACGACTCTGCCTGGCTCTGCTACGGGGCATCCTGCAACAGAGCAGGGAGAGAAAGCAGAGGATAAAACAACCCACAGAGCCAAAAAGAGAGGCAACTGTAAAGGGTGTTGGTTACGCAGCATTTGTTGTGGTTCAAAGCCCCTGTTTAGGGTGTAAGGAACGGCTGGACGTACCATCCGCAGAAGCAGGAGTTAGAGGGATGTACTCCGTCGATGTCTGGCTGGTCAAGGACACCCTGGCTCCGGTCAGGTCGATTTTGGTGCTCCGGCAGGTGTTGGAACAGACCTTCGTGTGCTGGTAGAAATCCAGCTCTCCTGAGTCCATGATCTTCCTGCAAGACAGGGAGCAAGCACAGGGACAAGCAGGTCAGCCAGAGCAGAGAGCTCCGAGACACAGCTCCTGGCAGCCTTCACCCCCTAACTTCTTGAAGTCCCAGATGAAAAGCAAAAGCGAGGAGAGCAGGCAGAGGCAACAGTCTGAGTTTCCCTTGACAAGTCCCCCTGTGTCCTGATCTTAGAAGCAGCATTAATTAAGAGTTAATTAAAACAGCATCCACAGTCTGCTCCACACTGGCCACATGCAAAAGTCCAGCAACCACACAATACTCCAGTGATGGTAAAGCCTTTCAGGAGGCTGGGACAGGGAGGGAAAAGCCCACGGTGCTGTAGCTGTGGCAAAGGACTGGAGCAGATTCAGTTTCTGACCACCTCCCTGCCACATCCCGCTTCCTCCTGTGGGATGGAGGAGGTGAAGCAGGACTTCAGCCCTCTGAAAAAGTTCCTCTCCAAAACAACCCAGAGAGGATGAATTTCCTTAGTCCAAGAAAGAAAGTCCTTTCCTTCACCACCAGAGCACTCAACTTGGGCTGAGAGGTTCAAGAGACACATGAGCTTTTCCTAAGGATATGTCCCTGCAAAAATAAACATACCTTGAGAAGCATCAGGACAAACCACAATGCTCTCAGCACATCTTCTGCTGGCAAGAAACCTCCAGGAAAAACGTACCATTTAGAGCCCAAACAGTGCCGTTCCCCTAACAGCAGTGAAGCGGAGAGAACTTTTCCCTGTCATCCCAGGCCACGCTCCCATGCAGCAGTTTTACCCCTGCCCTGTGATGCTGAACAGGGTCCTCCTCCCTGGGGTCTCCTGACCTGCTCTGAGGACATCCCCCGCCTTCGTAGGAGCAACACACACCTACCCCGACCATGCCCACACGTCCATGGGGCTACCCACAGCAGAGGCAGAGCCACCTCGTCCTGCTGCTCTCCCACCTCCCAACAGCAGAGCAATGCTGGGCCTCTAGACAAGCTGGTTTCGAAGCTGGTCCCACCTCTCTGAGCAAATTCTTCTGCATGGGGGTCTGCAATTTTAACTAGGAACCCTTGCTGGGACTGACGAACTCCTGGTTCATTGAGGATGAAGGAGAAGGTCCTAGTCTGGTCCCACCAGCGCCTTCCCCCTGCGCACCCCTGCAGCTTCCAGCAGAAGGGTGAGCTGAAGTCTCAGCTCAGGGCGAGATGGCAGGAAGCCTCTTCCTTCCCTTTTTGACTCTACACCTCAAATAGAGATGGGCATAACCCTATTTGTAAAGTAAAATGAGGCGTCTCAGCTTGAGTAAAGGGAGCTGCAACATTGGCATCTGTCATCTTCCCAGTCTAAACACACTGTCTCCAAAGCATCCCCAGGCTTTGCTGCCCAACAACAACGCGAGCTCCCACGGGCTGCTGGGCTTGCCTTCACACATTCCTCGTGAAGTTGTTTTTTTTCCTTGAAAGACCTGCCTTGCCAAAGCATAAGCCTATTACGCAAAAATCTACGTGGAGCAAAAGCTGCTTAGAAGGAATATGGGAGACGCCTGCATTGAAGCAGAAGAATACAGGCAAAGGCAATGTCACCCTGTGAAAAGAGTACAAAACCACTGACAATTCCTGGGGAAAGAGGTGATGCTTTTTTATCCTGCCTACAGGCAGAGATAGATTTTAATTAAATCACAGTCTCAGGCTGGCATTCAGGAAGACCATAGAAGAATTAAATTGCTGTAGTTAAGACTAGAGAAGAGAAATGCTTGCATAAATAAGCTTTAAATAAGTCCTTGGGAAAAAAAAATAAAATAAAAATTATGCAAAGCAGACATGCTGCAATGGGAGCGTTAGCTGATGACCAGACTGACTTCCATTTGGTAGGTCACACCAAGAACTCATAGACAGCATGGCCTGACCACCAGTGGCCATTAAAATTTTCAATGACCTTATGCCAGCTGGGAACTCGGTGTGGTTCAAGTCCTAAAAAGACCAAGGAAGCACTTTTTGCTTCAAAGTATTCCCTAGGCACAAGGATAAAGCCACCTGACAGACCACATTTGGGTCCAGGCTGTTAAGACAAACGTTCAGTGGTGTATTCGCTCTCTCAGCAGCGGAACAACCGTGCCAAACTCTGTTCCACCCCGTCGTTATCCCCAAGAAAGGAGCAGTCTCTGCTGTTACTCCGCAGATACAAACGAAGAGACTAACCGGAGCATGATCCCGTTCATACGTATTGCCCGCTTCCAATCCTTCAGGGTCGACTTGCCCGCCAAGTGGACAAACTCTTTGGGACTGATTAGGTGATCGTCAAACTGCAAGAGGCAGAAGTGCAACATCAGTGTGACAAGCCATAAAATAATAAACGGGTGCCCCACGAGCATGATTCAGCAGCAGAGCCAGGCTGCCTGGGTGGCATTTCCCAGTGCCCAGCAGTGGAGGCGCATCACAGCCTCGACATGCTGTTTAAATAACAGCACCAAGACAGACGGCTGACACACACTTCTCCACTTTAGAGAACATTGGCCAGGTTAAAAAAAATTTAAAGCCAAACATTGCTTTCGTGGTTAACAGCTACTCAAAGCCAAGGGTTTGGGGGTGTGTACAGCACAGAGGAGTTTGCAGAATGCCCAGCCCAGGCAGGACAGCCGGGAACACCACCTGCAGCTTGTGCAAAGTACCATTAACAGCAGTGAGCTGCGGGCGCTCCCACTAACGAGCAGACTCACACGAGCCAGGCTGCCCGCGGTCACGTTTGGGTCCAGGGCCACACTATGCCATGCGTGAGCGAGGGAAGGAGAAGCCCATTCGGTCTTTGACCTCCTGTTACCGAGCCCCACCATCGATATCAGTGAAACCTCTGGCCTCTCTCACAGCACACACCCATTTTTACCGAAAACCAGCTATAGGAAGTTGGCATACACTACATCAGCCAGCTCTTCCCCCTTCTTTTATTGCCTTACACACCCAGCTGTGCCTGAACCCATGGGCTGAGCTAAAAGCAACCTGCAGAATCAGGCAGCCCTCTAAAAAGCTGCTTTACAGCCCATCTCACAAAGGATTTCCCAAGTCCAGGGCGCCTCTTTTCAATGCCCATGTTGACCTACATTGAGCTCACTCACCATTACTGCATGAGAAGCTGCTTCTCTGAACAAGTATGTGGGCTTCAGTGCAAAGAGAGGGCTGATTTTAGGCAGCAGCATTATCTGCAGCAGTACCTGTCTTCTGCCTCGGGGATGGAAAAGACCATCTCTCCTACAAAGGGTAAGGACCATCCTTTGGCAATTCCTCTTGCAACAGAGCCCAGAGGAGACGCTTCCTCAGTGGGGTATTATTTGCATACAAACGCCAGTGATGGCTTATGATAACGTCACTCACAGTATGTTCCTGAATTCATGCAAATTTTAACCATGAGTTATTCAGGACACAGTAGAAGCTTTTCAGTAGGTCCCCTACCAATAAACTTCTCAACAAATTCTCAACTTTCAAACTGAGCAGGCACTGGAAGAACCCAAATTTCTCAAATTCTCCAATAATGCAGTTAAATTGAGGCAGCATCTCTCCAGCCAGGACTGTTCAACTTGGTCAAGAAGACAAATATCAGGTACCACAGTACCAAGAAATTTCCTCCTCTCCCACCACAACATGGTTTTGATGCAAAGCAGCTTATCAAAGCTTATCAAAACCAAGACAAGACAAGTGAGCATGCAAAGTGGGCATGGGAAGGCATGAGTCCAGCATCAGGGCCTTTTATTCTCACCTGCACACACTTCACGTTGATCCCAGGGCACACAAACTTTCTCCAGATGAGGTTGGCTTTGCTGTCCCCGCAGGTGATGGGGTAGACAATCTCTGCCTCCAAATTGTCCTCATCTTCAGCCATCTTCACTTCTCACAGGGAACAGAGGAAGGGACAGATCAAAAAGAAACGTGAGTCACAGCCCCTGATGCACCACCCCGAGGCACACATACAGCGATAAAGCACTTCAGAAGCTCAGGAGTAAAAAAAAATAAATAAATAAAAACCAAAAAAATGTAGACGATGCACAGTGAGGTGTGTTGGGGTTTGTGGCCACCACTGGCTTGTACTTTGCTACCAAAGCATCCAACCACCCAAATTTCTCAGGCAAAACAGTGCAGGCAGATGTATATGGATCCAGCTGCAGCTGAGTGTGTGAAATCTGAGAAGTCAGTGGCCAGGGCTGAAAAAATTCAATTCTTGATAAAGATGAAAGCAACAATGTTGTTCAGGCAATTATACATTCACTTTTGGTTTTGGAGCAGAACTGTTTTTAAGGCAACTCCAGCCCAGCTGGTTGCAGTCTTTGCTCACTAGATTCATCTTCACTTGTAACCAAAGCCTGTGAGTTTGCTGCAAAACTGACGTCCCCATTGCAAGCTGCAAGGGCAGGAGCCAGCGATGGCCAGATGCAGGGTCTCATCCTGCACCAGGAGAGGGCAGCAGCAGCCCAGCCAGCAACCACCAGTTCCCTTCCAGTCACCCAGCCCCAGTAGCTCGCTGGGCTCCCCCAGATGCTGGGGACAGCATCCCCAGGGCCAGCTGGCAGCTCCACACAGCAGTGTCTGGACCTTCTCGGCCGGCACCAGCACAGGTTTGTGCCACAGGGGGTGGTGGAGCTGGCACAGCTCAACTGAGGGGCTACGGCACGGGCTGAACCTACCTAGAACCGCTTCCTTCAGATGCGTGGAGGCTGTAAAGGCAGCAGCAGCCGCAGCAGCTGCATTTTCGGTCTCCAGCGTGTCTTCATTTATGTCACCGCTGGTAAAAGAGTCAGAGAGGCAGAGTTAAGCCACATGGATGTGCCACCCCCACACCCAATGCCCCGTGGAGATATTGCTTCAAAAGTCACTCGGACTATGTTTTCCCACAAGAGCTAAGCGTCGGCTCTGGTTTTGAGAGGCTCAGCTCCATTTTTCCGCACGGAGATGAAGAGCCCCCCAGCAGGCAGGCAGGCCCGCTGCCAGCAGCCCAGCCAGCTCTGCCTCGCCTCCCATTTAATCCCACCCCCATGGAGCTGCCTCCGGCACAGCCCGTGCTGGGGAGCTGGCGTGGAGGGATGCTGTCAGCACGGCCCCTCACTCAGAAGTCGCTGCCAGCCTCTGGCAGCTTTGTCTGAGAAGATTTCCCTAGGAAAAACATGTGTGAAACATGCGGCTGCTGTCTGGGCGATGGACTGGCTGAATCCCCTGGTACAGAGGATGCTCCCAGGAACAGGACCTCAAGTAGCCGCAAACACTCTATAAAGGAGTTCAACAAACCCTAACAGCAGATCCATGCAGAGATAAAAATAACGTGAGCTATAGATCCTCATGATCCAATCTCTGAGCCTCTTACAACTCAGTATACCCATAATCTTAAGCAATAGCTGCTATCCAACTGCTTTCATCCTCCCCACCCTGGAGATCTCGGGCTTCTCCTGGTGCTTTGCCGACGGAGGCACACAACTGGTCCTGCACAGCATCCGCACCCTCACTGTTCGCCCGTTCCAGCTCTCACTGCGGCATACTGAGCCCCAAGCCGAGCTTTGGTGCATGCTCGGATGGGAAAGGCATTTAGGGTTGTGATCTGGGACGTGCTCCTCACCCAGGAGGGTCCCACGTGACGGAGGAAGCCTCTGCTGGTACCCTTACGGATCCAACCTGTGCATCACAGCCAGCTCTCGGCATGGACCATTCCTAATGGGTTTTAAGATGTGTGTTTGGTTTTGGTATTAACAATCATAGAATTGTAGAATCATAGAATGGTGATAGGGACCTTGAAGACCATTGTGTTCCAACCGCCCTGCCCTGGGCAGGGACACCTCCCACCAGCCCAGGTTGCTCCAAGCCCCGTCCAACCTGGCCTTGAACACCTCCAGGGATGGGGCAGCCACAGCTTCTCGGGGCAACCTGCGCCAGGGGCTCACCACCCTCAGACTGACAAATTTCTTCCTAATATCTAATCTAAATCTCCCCTCTTCAGTTTGAAGCCATTCCCCCTCGACCTATCACTCCATGCCCCTGTGAAAAGTCCTTCCCCAGCTCTCCTGGAGCCCCTTTAGGTACTAGAAAGACGCAATAAGGTCTCCCCAGAGCCTTCTCTTCTCCAGGCTGAACAACCCCAACTCTCTCTGCCTGTCTTCATAGGAGAGGAGCTCCAGCCCTCTTATCTCTGTCGCCTCCTCTGGACCCACTCCAACAGGTCCATGTGGCTCCTATGTTGGGGGCTCCAGAGTTGGATGCAGTAGTCCAGGTGGGGTCTCACCAGAGTAGAGGGGCAGCAGGGGGGAAAAACAGTTAACTTTGCACATACTTCAGCATATAAACTTCCTAAGGAAGACTGTAAGGAGAAAATAAACTTGAATTCTACCCCGGTTTGGTACTACAGGTGAATTAAAAGAATGATTCTAGTGACTCACTGGCAGCCACATTTCCCACCCAAGGTGCCACAGGGACAAGCAAATTCAAGAGCAACTGGTTTTTCCATCCTGGCCTCCTAACACACAGCTCCAGGGTGGAACTGCAGCTTCAAAGCATCCCTCCCCTTGCCAGCCGCAGGGCAAGTACCTGGTGGGGAGCAGCACTGAGATAAGGGAACCAGTGTGGGCGGCAGCTCAGCCTCACCGGGTGAGTAACTCAGGAGATGCGGCTTCCGAGAAGCGAGAGCTGAAGGCAGCCCCAGTTGTGGGAGAAAGGCACAACGGAACGTCACACTGCCTCTGCAGCTCACAGTGACCAACAAGCCAGACCCTTGGGAGGGAAAGGTGATGGGTAACGCAAACGGACTCAGGAAGGTAAACTCAAGAGCTAACGCATTTGCACACAGGTATTACAGAAGTGGCAGTTCAACGCAAGAAAAATGGAAGAATTGTAACCTGGTTTTCCTTCATCAGTTTGCTGTTTGGTTCTTGCATTTCTCCAGATGCATTTGGAGAAAAGCCAGCAATGCCACTTCAGCAGGGCACGAGGGCTGCAAGAGGCAGCAGCCATGTCCCAACACGCAAAGCCCAGCGCTCCACAGCCCTGACTCTGATCTGACTCCGCCTGCCACCAGACCCAAACCCACCGACTGACCTGTCAAAAAGAAATACCCCATCAGAAAGTCAGCACCTGAAACACAGCTTCCTCCAGGACTCCGTCGCATTTGCACTGCTCCAAAAAATGGCTGAAAGGCATTACTGGATTGGGAGAAATAACCCAGCCCACATCTCAAACCCCATCTTCCCGAGCAAAACAAACAAACCAACTTCAACAGCTTGTATAAAAAATCCAAGCAACAAGTCTGTGTCTGCCATGAAGATGTAACTGGAGGGGAAGAGAAAACCACAAGAAAAGGTTGAGTTTCTCCACACAGCTCCCCTCATCCCATTCCAGAGGATCAGAGTGAGGCAGATGCAGGAGAAAACTCAAACACCTTCCAAGCCCCAGCAGTGCATCCTACCAAGCCGGTCCTGCCTTCACCGGTTGCCATGACGAAACCGGGGGAGGATGGCTCTCATCTTCCTCCCTGGGAGGATCCGTAAACCAGATGGGAGAAAGAGAAGAAAGTGCATGCTGACAGAGCAGCGGGCTTGCGTCTCCTTTCTCCTCCTCTCCTGTCTTGCCTGGAAACTTCAGAGAGAAAAAAAGTCTCCACCAGAAACCTGTGCTGGGGATGCTGATCAGAAATAGAAGCACCTCATCAGAGCATCAAGTACAGATCCCTCCCCATCACAGATGAAAGAGAAAAGCTTCTTGCTGATTATTACTATTTTCCCATTTCCCTCTGCCTCTTCCAGTCAATCTTAAAAACACAGGAACTAATTAACTCTTAACCATTGGTTGTATAATTATTTTTTTTTAAATAGCAAAACCATACCCAAAGGAGCACTAGAAAAACAGGCATCAACTCCCAAGCCGAGTCTGGCTGTGACCCCAGCCTCGTGGTTTTTAAGAGTCACATAAGACGAGTTCAAAGCCGGTTTCCCGCGCAGCAGTGACTGAGCCAAAGCTGAGGAATCCCAGCCCGTGCTCGCAGCCGCTTTCCTTACGCCAGCTGGGGCTGCAAAGGGAAAACAGAGGGAAAGGGAGCCAGCGCCACCACGGCGTCTCCCCAGGAGGAGCGGAGCCCGGCAGAGGCAACCGTCCAAGGCTACAGAGAGACCGTGGGCAGCTCGTGCCCCACCGCTCTGCTCAGCGAGGGGAGTCCCAGCAGCCGGCACAGCAGGAGTCAGGCGGGTTTTGCTCCACGAGCCCGAGAGCCACATCCTTCCCATCGACCTGCCGCTGTCCCAGAGAACATGGGAGCAAGGAGCCTGTCCACCGGCCCTTCTCCAGAGAGCTGCATGGAAAACCCTCCGGGAATCTCTTAATGCCTGCTGAGGTATGCTCTGCTCGTAGCTGCGACTAAATAAAAATCATCCTCTCTCCACTGTGTAGAGCTGTCCTGCTCCTGACCAACCAGGGGACACTTGGAGGGATGAGAAAAGGTTTCCAAAGAAAAATAGGAGGGGAAATAAGAGCAAAAGGAAACCAAACCAATTGCGCCAGCCTCTGCCATGATCCGTGTTCCTGGACAACATTGCGCTGTCGCATATGGGCCTGCAAAGGCTCAGAGCCACATTAAAACCAGAACCATTCTGCATCCAAGAAGAGCCACATCCCAAGTTTCACATCTGGCTGCTTCCCCACCGAGGGAGCTAAGGAAGTCACTGTAGGCCAGAAAACAAGAGGAACGGAACCTTTCTTCCCCACCATCACCCGCTCTTTTGGGAATGGAAAAGGCTCTCGGAAGCATTTGCAGACCCGGGATACAGAAGAGGAGCAGGGCAGCTCCTGCCCATGGCATCCCCGTTGCCTGCCCCAGCGCTGCCAGCTCTCACCCCTGCCTGTTCCCTACCAGAATTTCATGCTACGGAGTTTTATAGGAGTTACAGCAGAACAAGGGGAATGGCATCCGCGCTGTAATGTAAAAGCTATGCCCTGCTGCCCTGCCCTGAGCCACAGGGAACCGACATAGAAAGAACAAGACATATTTGAGGAAAGGAGATTAATGTCTCCTTTTTGTGGAGAGCAATAAACAGCCGCTCGCTACCCACTTATTTCAAGTTTAGGGACTTCTGGATCAGACAAACCTGCCTGGATCCAGCTCCAGGTGTGAACTTGGACTTTCTGCCCACCAAAAGAGCAAAGCACTAAAAAGTCTCTGGGCACCGTCCCATGAAAGACTGTAGGGGAATAAAGCGAAGAGCCCATCGCTACATGGGCCTTCAAGGTACCAGCCAGGTCCTTTGGCCACGGAAACAAAGACTCAACCAACATGCAGCTGAACAGATCAGACTGAACAAACAGAAGCTCTGGATCTGAAATGTCAACAAGAAAGGCAGAAATTGGGCAAAGCAACAAGACTATTAAAAAACCCCCACAGACATAGTCACTCTTTTTTTGCCTCTCCATCCAACGCTGCGTGGTTTCAAGGCCACCTCTCTCACTCCTAATGCCAGCAGCAGCAGTTCCTGCAGAGCTCTGCCAAAAAACACGGGCCCAAACCCCACCGTGGGAAGGGGAGCGCTGCTGCACTGCGCTCACCACGCTGCAGAGACTCATCTCATGGGGGTACACAGCTTAGTGAAGCAATCATGAAACAAATAGCAGAAAAACAGTGACTTAGCTACTGGTGTCTTGGTCCAACTGGACTTTTGTCCATTGCAATATCCACTCAGAAAAGATGTTTTGGTTTGGTTGTTAGGGTTTTTGTTCATTTTGTGGTTTGTTTGTTTTTGGTTTTTTTTTTTTTTTTTTTTTTAAAGACATTTTCCCCCATTCATCCAAAACAAACTGTTGCATTGCCTTTGATTCTGGGTAACACCAGCTTAAAACTACCAGTCGAAACTCAGCTTTAACAGAAGAAGTGGAGCCTGCTCTGCTCTGTAAGCTCAGAGCTGCAGAGCCCAACCCTGCATATGGTCCCAGGGGTGTCAGCGAGGACCTAATGAGGAACTGGAGATTTCCCAGGCACCGCTGAGGTCCCCACTGTGAGAACTGATGCAGGATTAAGTGGTACGTGACTAAATACACCCAGCCCAGCTGACTGTGACCACGGGTGGGAGGTTCTCCAGCACGTCACCTCGGTGTATGCCAACCCTGCCTCTTACCCATGCTGAGACAGGTTGGTGGTGACCAGCACTGTCTTCACCTCCTCCATGCCACCTCCATCCACCGCGCCGTCAGGCGTCGTCACCACCACCACCTCTTCCATGTGAACGCTGACGTCCGGAGTCGCCATGGCGAGGCAGGAGCGGGCAGCAATGGGCAGCCAGGTGGGAGAGCCCTCGGTCACCGGCTGCCTGCGGAGAAACGAGGGGAAGTACCACGTCAAAAGGTCTCCCTGCTAAAATTGGTCGTGGAAAGAGCATTGGTGCAGTGGGAACAAGGGGAGAGGGGGCAGCAGGGACTCCGAGTTCCTAAGGAGAAGGGGATGAGCAAACCCCCAACGGCTCCATCCCAAGAGGAGGGATGAGGGGAGGCTGGTAACCCAACACACGCTCCGCAGGCTGGGGGAGGGTGATGGGCACGGGAAGAGGCAAGAGGTGGGGAACGACTCGGGGATGGGTGGCGAGGGGCAGTGTGGGAGAGGGTGAGAAGCAAAAAAACGGTCCTGGCATTCACCAAAAGCTCTATGAAGATACTCGTTTTGAAGGTGCGTTTCCAAAACTATTTTGAACTACCTCAGCAGGATTTCACACTGCTGGAGGAGCTCATCACTGTCTCCTCCACAGCAGAAACGGCGACTCTCCCCTCCTCCAAAGTCACACACACAAAAATATCAAATTAAAAAAGCATTTCAAGCCTGCAGAAACAAAGTGACATCTGAAAACTATTTCAAAGTGTGCGCTTCTAATAAATCAGCCATAGATTTAAGACAGCACTTAAAACCGACTCCAGCGCCCACCCCTACAAAGCCACTATTCCATATGCAAGAAGAAACCTGGGAAAAACCCCAGCGCTAGTTAACTGCAGGCACCAGGAGCCGCACATCTTGACACTCTCACGGTTGCACCACATCCCCGGCTGCTCCAGCCTCCGTACCCAGGGCACAGCGTAACTCACCGGGGAAAGCCCCGGTCCCCCCGGGGACACCATCGCCCACCTCTCCTTGCCAGCTCACGCCTGCTTTCCCCGGGATTTTAGTAACTGTAGAATTAAAAGCAGTTTTAAGCCATTTAAGCAATAGGAGAGGAGAGGTCAGAAAGAGAAATAAATAACCTTTACCAACACATGGGTACACATGCATCAACATCCTCCAAACACCCTTGTCATCCTTAGTGTTACATGGACACTGCGATCAAACTAATGTACGCTATTTAGAGCCAGAAAAACGTTTGCAAATCAGCTTCTGATGAGATCTTCAGCCCTGTCCCATGAGGGAACCAGGTCCGCATTTCCCCCTACCACCAAGCAGCCCTCACTTGCCCGCTAACGCCGAGGTGCTGAGAAGCAGGTGACCACAAAGCATCTCCTATATTACCTACAGCACCGGCGCAGTCTACGCAGAGACGTAAGGGTAGGGTTGTGGGAGCGTTGCCCTTGCCAAGCTCTGGCCATTCAAGCTCGGACTCCTCTGGAACCCTCGGAGCACGGTGGAGAAGCCGCTTGGCCACCCTGGGCCACCCCCGGAGCTGTGCGCTGACCCAACGTGTCTGAGCTAACTCTGCAGTGCCATGCACGCTCTGCAGAGACACCTGCCTGACCCACGCGCACCCCACGAGATGATCCACGGAGCCCATGGGGTTCACCCCAGCCAAGCAGCTGAAGGTGGACGGATCCCTGTGACACAGCCCAGCAGGAAGTCACCAACAGACTCCGGTTAGTTTTTGCAGCAGGACGGAACAAAGTGAGGCTGGCGGGACCGAGGGCAAGGTGAGAGAAACAGGAGGGGTTTGCTACAAACCCGCATTTCAGCGCTTGTGGAACCAGGCAGGGTTGCAGCGCGCTGGCCGCACGCCGTTCCCTGTCCCCCTCGCTCCTCCACCGGGACAGCAGCTCCCTGCGGCACCCGCTGTCTTTTACCGGGATAAAAACGCACTGGGTGCTGCACGTCGGCAACTGACGATGCAACACATAATGCAGATGGCTCGGCTGTGTTCAGTTTAACCGCTGCGATATTATTGTTTTTTGCCGCTCTCTCCCTACACCTGCCTTCCGTTTTGGGGTAAAACTCCTCTTGTAGCATTAGTGATACCCACGGTGGCCCCTGCCCCGGTACCCAGTTTTGGGATGCTCTGGACATCCTGCCCAGCTTGACGGAGGGCTGGCTGTGCGAGAAGGCTTCAACTCCGCGAGCGGGCGTTGCTCGGATACCTTCGGGCAAGAACCAGCGTGGGATGGGGAAAAAACTGGGCTGAAAACACAAGAAATCAGCAGCAGCGGGGTGCAGCGAGGCGGCTGGAGGGGGAACAGGGGCTAGCAGGGAGCCCCCCCGGCTCTACCCGGTCTTGGGGCACAGGTCCCTCGGGTGGCACTGAGCAAACTTCAGCGGCTGCAGGAAAGAATTG